AAACAGATCTATATTTGGTTTAACGCGGGCTTTCTCTACTGCCCGAGCAAAACAACTAGGATCTAGGGCCCATTCACTTGAACCCAGAGCTTGTCTGGAGTCTTTGTCAGCCTGCAGTGTGTTAGATACACCTGGTATATGTGCAGCAGAGAGCCAAATGCCATTGCTTACACACCAGTCCCAGACTAATCTACCAGCCGAGTTGCAAGCTTTGGAGTGACTGGTACCCATGTGATTAATGGTAGCTACTGCAGTAGTGTTGTCAATGAACACACGGACATGCTTGTCTTTTACATAATTATGAAAGGCTTTTAGTGCCATAAGAACTGCTAGTATTTCTAAATAGTTGATATGGTAAAGCGACTCAGCTGGGGTCCACTGGCCCCCTGTGCTCAAGTTACCCAGGACACCACCGCAACCAGTGGTTGAGGCATCAGTATAAATAACAATCTCATACTCGCTGTGTTGCACGACATTAAATGCACTCGGGAGAGAAACTGCCCACCAATGTAGGTCTTCAATAGAAGACGAAGATAAGGTCATAGAACTATTAAAATTCCCTTTATTCTTCTTTAGGGCTTCATTTTTATCCATACCAGCCTTTCAAAATGTTCTTAAAATTGTTTTGAATAAAAGTGCAAGGTCGAAGAACAAATTTCAAACAGTATAAAACTAAGTCAACTGACAAAAGCCAAATACAACTCACAGTTTTTGCTGTTGCATGCCTCGACTCCTCTCGTAAAGAAGCCAAAAATCTTTAAAGAAATATCCGTAGTGAATTTAAGTGAATGAGAAACTCTGCAAAATGTGAAAATGAAAAGTTTGATATAGATTTACAGCAACGAATGGACGAGCAAACTCCAAATAAAAACAACAACAAACTTTATTGCAAAAGCTTAGTGGAATTCACAAGTTATAGATAAAGCTTCAAAAGTTTACAAAGGCCTAGCAACAGCTCACGTATAGAGGTAAGAAATTTCAAGAAAATCCGGTTTTCTCCGGTTAAATTATAGAGGCTATCCTACGGATAGTTAAACGCGGAACTAAGCGGGCTTCGTACAACGCAATTTTATCGGCCGTTTAACTATCCGCTAGATAAGAAATGTATACGCTGGATAGCGCCTATAAACACCGTTTAAGTTAAACGCCTTTGATACAACCGGCCCCTGCTGTCAATTGTTAGATACCTGTGGAATCGTCTAAAAGGAAAAACTACAAAAATGTCAATCCAGAGCTGCTAGAGTAATAACAGGAGCATCTTATGATATTAGGTCGGCCGATATTCTTGCAACTTTGGGGTGGCAAACTCTTGACAATAGGCGAAAATACTTGAAATCCATTTTTATTTACAAAATCTTAAATAATGAAACTGCTCCAAACCTGAAATAAGTGATTGTCCAATTATACACCAATTTAGAAATTCTCAAACAGATCTGGTACTTCCATTCCCAAAATCACAATTTATTTCAATTACTGCAAAACAATCCAATTATATGAGTTGTTTCAAAAGACTAATGAAGCTAATTTTCGAAAACAATAAGCATGTAAATAGTTTTGTATGTTTGTTATTTATTTATGTCCGCTAATTGTTTGTATTATGTATATGTATTAGTCTTAACCTCACACGTCCCCTATGGAAATCATCTAGATGTTAGGGTTAATATATATATATATATATATATATATATATATATATATATATATATATATATATATATATATATATATATATATATATATATATATATGATTTGGCGTGGATGCGTATCAAGCCTATATACTCAGAAAAATTCTGAGCCCTAACGGGAATTGAACCACGTAACCTTCTGATTACCGGACAGACACTCTAACCATTGAGCTTTAAGGCATCAGATGGTGAGCCAAGGTTACGTTATTTACTACTTCTGTGTGTTACATGTGTACTGCTAACTGCAAGTCTCGACATGTCTTGTTGATGTTATTATTAAGAACTGCATTTCTGTATATGTGTGCCTCCGTGGCATATATACTGTATATATATATACGGGTGTCTGAATTTCAGACACTCTAAAATTATATTGCGAGCTGTACGGGTGTCTGAATTGCAGACACCCCTATATATATTTTATTGCGAACTATATGGGTGTCTGAATTTTAGACACCCATATAACCATTTCTTGCATGATCGGTTATTCCATTTCCAGCGATAAGGGTGTCTGAAATTCAGTCACCCTAAATATTCAGGGTGTATGAAATTGGGGTCTCTGCAGATTAGTATCTTCAGACACCCCTGAAATTTAGGGGAGTCTGAAATTCAGACACCCCTAAACATTACACATGCACCAGTTGTTCTATTGCCCATGCATTTTAGCATGCAGACAGTTAATTTTATTTGTCTAAGTGTTAGGTATTGTGCTGTAAAATTAACACTTGGCAGAACATTCAGCGAATAATAGCTAAAAACGTTGAAAATAACGTTTTTGTATGCACATTCATTCGGAGTTAAACTGAACACACTAGCCGCACAAATTATAGAAAAATAACAAAAACGTAAGCAGCGCCAGAAAAATTGCTATCAGCAAAAATCAAGATTATACATCAATACAATTTCGACACAAGTTTGCAGGAAATCCCCCTTTTCTTTGATATTTGGGGCAAATCACGATGACTGGCAATTAAACAATATTTTCACAGAAAAATGAGAAAATTTCAGCAAAAATATTGCAGTTTTTGTTAAAATTCAAAGTTTGGAATTGTTCAAATTTCTTTCAGTGGAACGCATATTTGTTTGCTTCACGAATAGAACAGAATGATACTATAAGAAACTCACGGAACAAAATTTAGTGACGAAATAATAAGATTAACTAACAATTAAGAGTATCATTTACTTTGTATTATGTAATTTAGATATTATTATAGCTTTATTTTTTTATTTTGCAATCAGTTCCTTAACTTTGAGCTAGCTAGCTCAATAATATTCATTAAAACCCGGCAAAATTCACTAGTAACCATGCATATAAGCTCGTTTCAGTTAAACAAAGTGAGCGTTAGTAAATAATTTACTCAATTGCTTTAGTTTACACAGCTCTGGCTGATTGCACAAATTTTCAAGCTTTAATGGAACAAATTTTTAATGAATTTGCAAAAAAACCGAAGTTAAATTTACCTCAATTAATTTTTGGCAAAATTTTTATTTTTTCTTGCCACGCGCACGATGGGCAATTGTTTGCTTAATTTAATGATTTGCGCTTTACTTAAAACTTAGCCAAACAACTTTAATTATTCCTTTAATTATATGTACATTACCTTGAAACCAATACCGCACCTGATTGATCGGTTTTGTTTCTCCTTTCCGCAATGAGTTGGCAAATGACTTTGTGATAAACAATTCAATATATTTTATATATTGCCTACCAAATCTCACTTGTATAACTGGTAAATATTAAAATTGTTGTTTCTGAATAGGATGTCAACTTACAGATATATTCGTAAATATCTGAACACAAATACTTCAATACATTTATATCACCATTGCCTCGGTTTCTATTGTTCTCAGCAGGTTGATTTCAAGCGAATACACCTTCCGGCCTACTGTTTGAAAGCAGGGGGCGGAATTTGAATATTTCAGGGGAGAGAGGGGCTGAAATAATTGCCCTAACTATGCGGTTGATATGAAAATATCAACCTCTTCAAGCGGTTGATATGTTCATATCAACCTCTTCAACAGGTTGATATGTTCATATGAACCTTTTCATCCATATCAACCTCATTAATAAATTAATGAGGTTGATAAATACATATCGACATCTAAAGAGGATCTTCCCTCTCATCTGAATAGACGCTGGACGTCCCCTGGGCGAGAAACAAATATCAGCTGTAACTCTGCCCGTCACTATCGATCATCCGGCGTCAGAAAACATGCTGGCAAACCCTAGTTAAATTCACACTCAGCGAATTTATACAAAAATATCTACTGTTTTGCTTGTGGGACGTGAAATAAGGTGAAATTACACACTGCGCATGCTCAACTACAACTTATTACAACTTCTGAAAGACAGTATTTCTCACCTCGCTCTCACTTTCCTCTCCGCTATAAGCGAGTTCTATTACTGCATTTAAATCTAGTTGACAATCACTGTCCGAAACCTTGTCACTAGTACACACATTCTGCGTAATATACAGATCCTGTCACTTTTATCCTCCATAGCCAGCGATCAACAAACAACGTGAATACTTCTACACCATGTTAAATGTAAAATGTACTTAAACCCGTCGACTGCATGCATAACATTTTTCTTCTATTTGCAACACAATACACTTCACCCACACCAGTCATTTCAACTAATTTACATCCTCTCTCTTATGCGAATCGCACAAATTCAAACCTTATGTGAAAACTGCCTAACATCGTTTTGTCAGCATTCAAAAATAGCAGTCCTATAAAAAAACCCTATAATCAAACAATGTTTCTCACTTCGCCTAGTGATGATATAAGTCGGTTATATACCTTAGAGGTCCTTAGACCTCTGTGTTTATATGCATAAACACTTCGGTCACGGTATATAACCTATACCTATAATATACTAATGCATGGAAATAAAACTGGTGAAAATTGGTATAGTAAATACAAGAAAGACGTTTAGCCTAGTTTTCACACCCTATAGATGCAATTGATCATGTTTAGCAATTTAAGTTTAATAAGGAATATTGCTGTTTCATTCAAAGTCTGCTTTGCGGAAACTAAACTTTTTAAATTACTTTTTAATTATATACATGCCGTAGTACGTATTCAATTTAGCAACATCTGCTTGTTGCACATGCGCTGGATTTGTTTCAGTATGTACTCTTGCCAACTTGAAACATCCACTGTACTGATTCATTTTAATAAGTTCTGAATTTACGCGAGTCTGTAGAGTGATATAAATGTAGCTTTTAAAATTTCCTACATCTACAATATTATAATTTTATCATTAATTATTATTGTTAAATCCATTCAGCAATAGTCTTCATTAACTGGATACATGTGGTACTGGGCACATGCAAAATTAAAAAGAAGGCAAAAATCGATGGTGCAAGGCCATAAATGTCTATTTATTCATCAAAAATTCCATTGTAGGCTACTACAGTATAATTGTTTTGAATTATGTGCATTCTATATTTTCGGTTTTAGTCAATCTTTATTTTGCATTTAATGCGTGGAAGAGACGGAAAAAGCTTACATTATATTATATGATCATGACGTAATTCTTTCTTATATGCAGATCAATAGAACATGCAGAAATAATTGGGCCTCCCTTCTATACCAGTTTAACCGGTTTAGAAGAGACAAAAATACTTGTCAGTCTGTTAATTAAGTCCCATAGAGACTTAGATATTTTATACAACCAGATGAGAATAATGGTTGGGAACAATTTTAATTACACTAAAAATCCAAGTCAGAGCAAAACAGCAAAAAATATTGTAAATATAGGTCCATGTAAGCTTTTAATGTTGCATCTTAACTGGAAATCATCTATTCATAATATTAAATGAAGCAGAAACATTGACAAAGTATCAGAAAAATGACGTTTTATACAATATCCTTGCACATTTTGCAATAAAAATACACCAAAGAACTGCTCCATTAAGACATGTAGAACATTGGGCAACTGAGTTGTTTGTATAATTTTTTATTTGTTTGTACAGCTGCCGCAGTTAAAATTTCGTTCGTTAAAATATTTGATTAGCTGGTTTTCAACTCAATACTATTTTATCAAATTAAAGCACGAGGAATGATAAGTTTTTCCTAATTTTGTATGCGAGCGAGTTTTTCATTTGCTGTTTACAACGCCTAATTATTGGTCCTAAATTTTATTCAAATACAAGAAAATTTATTTTTGTGATTTGAGATATATTTATAGAAATGCAATTGAATGGACCCACAATCCTGTCAAGTCTACAATTCGAAACTCATAAATACGTACTCGGCCGAATTGCATGTTATATGCACACCATTCAATAAGGTTTATTTACTTACGTTATTGCTGTTTAAATTTTGAGTTATTAAAATATCTTAAACATGTTTTGGAGCTTTTGGAAAGCAATAAGTTTTTATTATCTGGTTTGAGGTAAATATTGATATTGTTTGCAGCTGTGCTATTCTTTCATTTGTAATGTGTTTTTTTTTTAATTTGAAATATGGACGAACGTAATGGTATAAATTCGACCATCCACTGCGTGCTTAAACACTGTTCAAGACGTGCTACATCTGACACATCTTAAAACTTTGGTAAATTGTTGGAACAAATCTGTGGTCTAAACTTTTTGTAAGTATTCCGTAACTTAATCCACTACTTCATGTTGATTATATATATGTAGTAATACGGTATATATGTAGCATACTTTTCCTATTTGTTCATCTTATCGTAGTTGATCATATTATCGTAGTCTTTCTCTAAAACTAACGTGCTGATAGCACTCTTTCTTCATAAATATTGTAACTGACATTTTTCGAATAATAAAATAAATAATCTAGGCACCTTAATTTTAAATAAAAGCCTTATCCTTTCTGGTGGGTTCCTAACCCTGTTTCGTATATATATACATATTTCGATTATTTTCTATTGCGTTTGGGCGAAATTATTGGATAAAAAAAGAAAATGACGAAAGTAAAAATGTTCGACGTATAGTACAAATAGACTAAACATAAATAGACTTACAAAACTAAAAAAAGACTGACAAACTGACTTATACACTGTTCCAAGTGTGCACGCATGGAATCAATCTACATGCAATGGAACAAAGGACAGATAAAGCAGCCAACACAAATTAGTTTATATCATTCTTCCTTCTGGAAGGATAACAGATGTATACTTTGTTCTTTAGGTCCAGCAAACATTAAAGGGACATATTGTAAGAAAAAAAACAGATACATTTCGTAGAAGATGTTTATATAAATTATGCATGTTAATTAATAAGATGAAGTTCCTCCCGTGGGAGTGGAGGCCTGACGTTAATCTAGCCAAATGAACCGCACCTTTTCCAAAATGTCTTTATCATAAGTCTCATAAGGGCATTTTTGTTGCAGACGTTACGTTTGAGACAAAAATAAAAAGGGTACTTTTCAATATAACTTGAATGCAAAAACATTTTGATAACAATTTATATAAGATATTTGTAGTTACTGTACATAGTAGAAAAAAACTGACACTCAAGGTATCTGATATGCAAACTCGAGTCGAAGGCGAGAGTTTGTATATCGGATAAAGATCGGATGCGAATTAACGAAGATCGGATGCAAATTAACGTGCTTAAAAAAACGACCCATCTTTTGAGTTCACTGGCGAAGTAATTTTAAAAATAAACATTGTATAAGCCGAGAAAATCAAAGCTGAAGTTTAATATGTAAATCAGGACAAGTCTTTATCCGATTACAAACATTGATTAAACATTCATTTCTTTTGAATTTTCTTCATGAATTATTAATGAGTTTTTTAAGGGCGATTCACGAATATTCAAAAAAATAACTTTTACATTTTGAAGGGCCTCTCTTTTCTGCTTTTTAATGTACGGTAATTTTGGTTCCACGCTTCCAGGGTTTTGTAATAGGAGTCGTAAAGATTATGCTGCTAGGTAGGCTACTTCTCAATTCTGCTTCGCTTTTTATAATCATGTAATGAGGGCTTTTTTCGAATAACGTAATCGTAGTTACGCTTATAACAGCGATTTTTGTCATATACTGTATACAAATTTATTGCTATTGTAACATCTCTAGCTAGTTTGCAACCAGCGTCGTGATTGTTGAAGCTTCAGCATTACGTTCCAAAATGTCTTTATCATAAGTCTCATAAGGGCATTTTTTGTTGCAGACGTTACGTTTGAGACAAAAATAAAAAGGGTACTTTTCAATATAACTTGAATGCAAAAAACTCTTTTGATAACAATTTATATAAGATATTTGTAGTTACTGTACATAGTAGAAAAAAACTGACACTCAAGGTATCTGATGTGCAATCTCGAGTCGAAGGCGAGAGTTTGTATATCGGATAAAGATCGGATGCGAATTAACGAAGATCGGATGCAAATTAACGTGCTTAAAAAAACGACCCATCTTTTGAGTTCACTGGCGAAGTAATTTTAAAAATAAACATTGTATAAGCCGAGAAAATCAAAGCTGAAGTTTAATATGTAAATCAGGACAAGTCTTTATCCGATTACAAACATTGATTAAACATTCATTTCTTTTGAATTTTCTTCATGAATTATTAATGAGTTTTTTAAGGGCGATTCACGAATATTCAAAAAAATAACTTTTACATTTTGGAGGGCCTCTCTTTTCTGCTTTTTAATGTACGGTGATTTTGGTTCCACGCTTCCAGGGTTCTGTAATAGGAGTCGTAAAGATTATGCCGCTAGGTACTTCTCAATTCTGCTTCGCTTTTTAGAATCATGTAACGAGGGCTTTTTTCGAATAACGTAATCGTAGTTGCGCTTATAACAGCGATTTTTGTCATATACTGTATACAAATTTATTGCTATTGTAACATCTCTAGCTAGTTTGCAACCAGCGTTGTGATTGTTGAAGCTTCAGCATTACGTTCTTTTTGTCTTTTTTAGGTATTGCAATGAAGCTCCTCCTATTTGCTACTACTCTAGTAATGGCTGCGTATGTTGCAGCTAAACCGGGAAATCAAGGTCCTGCCTTATCCGATGAAGGTCTTGTTAAAAGAGAGGAATGGTCAACGATATCAAAGACAGTCAATGGACAGGAGTTGTTATTTGGCTGTGACAGAAGACACACATTATTAGATGACGGAAAATGCTGGTCTTATTGTGGCTCTTCCTGGGTGGGTATTAAAATTACAAAAACTTGGTTAACGGTCAGCGGTCAAAAATCAGTAATACTTCATTTTACAATACTATTTGGTGTATATCAAATGTCAAAATTAAAATTTCTTGTTTTCCGTTTAAACCTATCGGGTAATTAACGTAATTTTCACTGCATTGCTCTGGTAAGGGGCAGCATTACCTTTATTGATCGGGCAATGATAAAACCAGAAATGACGCGCGGGCTCTTCCGGGAAGCCGATAAGTGTAAAGTTCTTTCAAAATTAAGACTAAACAAACATTTCAACATGAGCGGCAGGTGAGTTATTCTGCAGATTTTGACACCTGGTATATAACAGAACACGAATTTGATGAGACATCAGGAAAACAGCGCGTTTTGTGGTCCCTCGATCGCCATTGTTACCTTCGTCTTTGCGGCTAAATGGTGCATAAATAATTAACAACAAAGGACGAATATATAATGTTTATTCATAATAACAGGAATTATTGAAACGGACTTTAGTTAGTTGAATGATGGCACGGTGGAAAACACGGGTACCTGATTGACGTATACTGGATAAACGGATAGATTGGTAAATTGGTAAACGGATCGTCGGATAAACGGATAAACGAATAAACGGATAGACGGTTTACACAGATAATATCTTTGTCATATTATTTATACTAATGGTGCATGAATTGAAGTTGTGGTCATTAGCAAAGGCTATAAAGTCGAGATATAGCGATCAAAATTTGAGCGCCAATGAAGATTTCACTAAAATACGGCATACAGTATAGGAATACAATAAGATAACCATAATACACTGTGTCCATAAAATGTCCATAAATTATAACACCTACTAATTAATATATACCAATTTACGATGCCTAACCAAGTGCATAAAATATGATAAAGGTTGATTTCTAAATTTTTGTCCGATTTCGATTAGAAAGAGAACCACTACACGCTGGTAATATTCAACAAATTTTCTGCCAGTACTGCAGGCTCGCATTCTGAGCGGACGTGTGGTGAAAAATTAAAATTTTGCATTTTGCACAGAACTGTCCACTTTCTGTACGATGTCCGCTGACAATACGAGCCCGCACGAGTGGGAGAAATTTTTGCTAAATTTGACCAACGTGCTAATTACAAGAAACTACGCCCAATTATTTTGTCTTATCAAAAGTTCGCTGTCTAAATCGGGTTTAAAGGCCGAGACACACCGGACGCGATATTCAACAACGCGGCGCGATTTTTCCATTTTCACTGACCGATAACTTTGATCCTGGTTTAAGTTTTTCTAATAGTTTAGAAAAATTTATTTGGTATACATATATCTTTTAAAATTTCCTTTTATTTAATTTCTTTTTATATTAACTTTCAAAAACTGAAAAATCGCGTTGTCGAATCGCGTCCGGTGCGGTGTCTCGACCTTTAGGTTATAGCGCGCATCATAAATCGTACAAATTCAGCAGCAGAAACTATACAATCTCGGCAAAAATTATTGTGGGCAGGGAGTGCACGTTTTGTAACTAAGAGAACAGTCATTCCCTGTATATTGAAAATCGAGTATTTGACGCCCCGCCCACTTCGCCTTTTCAATGTGGATCGATAAATGAAGAAAAAATATTTGCTACAATTGTTCTTGAAATACAACATCGAGTGGGCGCGCGATCGATATATATGGTAAAAAGAATATGTATGGCTGCTTGTCTAGGGAGAACTGTATATCAGTGGCGTGCTGGGTACTATTTTTCTGGAGGGGCCAGTGGGCTGTCAACCAATATACGCCCCTATAATGTTACACTTGATAAACGAGGGCCGAAGGCACGAGCCGAGTGCCACAGGTGCGAGGTTTGTCTAGGAGGGTCCGGGGGCATTCCCCCAGGAAAATTTTTGAATTTAGAGTCTCTGAAATGCCATTTCCTGGACTTTGGGGGAAGATTTGACAGAAATCTGATGGTCAGGAAACGGCATTATAACGTGTCGAAATTTGCAATTCGGTTAGAATTTAGTAGTAGTACTTAAATTATGCAATGCTAATTACTTCCAGCGATTAATCTAATCCCAATTCTGTTCTCTACTGATCTACTGTTGTGAGTACATTTACAACTTAAAACTCTTTTATACAATAACACAAGCAACCCACGCATATGCATTTTAAGGTTTCCTTGCCTGGCTGCCAAAAGGGCGTGTTTCAGCATTATTTCATTGCTTACATTACTCATGCTTCTTGTGCAAACAACTAAATTGCGTACACAACTAAATATCAGTTATCATAACTTCAACTATCTAATTTGCGCCGCTCTCGTGATTCGTGAAGCATAATAAAGGGCATAATATAAGGGCATAATACCAGCAAAAAAGGGCATAATTTCTGTGATCGCTTCGATCGAAACCTGACCAATATTCCGGTAATGAGACATTGCCTGTGATCACTGATCATGTTTCTATATGAACGATTTCGTGTGAGCTGTGAGGTAGCAAATACGGTTATGCAAAATAGTCTGTAATTTAATATATGTCGCCTATATGCGCTTAGTCTGTTTCATACTGTAGCCTATAAACATGTCTTTTCTTGGCGGAAGTAACCATATTTTTTCGAGAATGCGTTTTTTTCCACCCACTTTCAAAATTCGGCGCCCCATTTTTATTTTTGCGCCCCCCCAAGAATTGCCAGCTGGGGGGCGTGACCCCCCGCCCCCCGCCCCCCCGTGCCAGCACACCACTACTGTATATCGATTCTAGTTGTCTATTAGGTTGTAGCACATGTAAAAATGCTAAAATAGGAATAGCTAAAATATGTATTGAAGAAAACATTGTATATTAAGATGAATATCACATATTACTATAGCTCACTTTTCAACGCGGGGTTTAGGCAGGCGTTTCGCAAGTACGTTTCTAAATTTGGATTATTGGCTGTGGAGCTTCAGTACATCAGTAATCAGCAAACTACTTCCAAAATTGGCTTACCAGTTCTCCAATTTGTATTTCCTGACAATTTAGTATCCGCCTATCCGTCTATGCAATAACCGGTACCCAAGTTTTCTACCAAACATCTCGTGACACCGGATGTGTACCAGCAATAAATAGTTTGCATGATTTGTTTTACTCGAAATTATTTAAATCTTTGAATTAATTAATTAACCATAATATAATATATTTCTTCTCATGCTTAACGCAAGTAAAATTTGAGTGTACCTCAAGGTGGCGTATATACGTCGTCTATTCTGTTTTCAAATTTGGGATAGCTCCGACATAATTGTTCAAAAAGGAAATCGAATTTTAGGTTCAGTGACCGGTAAAAAAATTTCAGGCTAATAATTATAGGTCTTATATTACCTTAATCTTTGATTTCTCTCCACAATTTTAAATACTTTTTCGAGAAAAATTAAAAGTTGAAGCAAGAAATGTCTCGTATAACTGAAATACTTATTTAACTAGATGTCAGACACAGTGAAAACATTTTTTAACCTTTAAATTGTATTTTTATCCAGACGAGCGGAGAGTGGTGCTACACCAAGAGAGCAGATGGTATGACGAAGGGTTGCTGGAATAATAGAAAATGTTATCACTTCGTTGATGAATGTCTTACTGCTTGCACCCTTTGAGATCTTCTCCATGAGCTTCAAGAATTAATGATTAAAAACCGGACCAGTTAAATGACTGGGCTTTGTTAAACTCAGAATTATCAAAATAAAAGGAGAATTGCATTGAAATGACTAATATGATTGATGTTTTTGTGATGGTTGTGGGGTGGAGGGAGGGGGTGTAGAATGGCTTTGCAGTTACAATATTATGTGAGAAAACTAAACTAACAACTTTTCAAGTTTCAAATATTACACAAAACACATGTAGTTCGCAAGGTAAGTTTTAT